CTGGTTTCAGTGTCCTGGGGTGACCTTTTGACAAAAAAAAGTTTTTTTAATCAAGCCCCACCCCCCCTGGTCAAGGGTGTCCCTCTTTTCCAATCTGAAAATCTGGTCGCCTTAGCTAAGAAACAATCAGCCACATGTTGTAAATTTTATAAGGTTTTTCAGATCCATTTTATTTTACCCCTATTATGTAAACCTGTTGAAGACAATTAGACCTTTTGGAAGATTTGAAATCTTCCATCATTCACCTACTAGCTAGGCTCTGAGTTGCCACAATGAAAATAAGGCAAAGGCTGGGACAAAGATAATGTTGATTTTTTCCCCAGTTTCATTGAACTCTTAATAGTATGGTTGTTTGTTGAAATGCTCTAATAATATAGTTATTTTGTTGAAATAATTCCTAAGAAAATAATTCTTAGGAGTTATTTTACAGTGGCTTTATTTGTGTTGTGATCAAGATTATAACATAATTTTAATGCTAAAAATATTACTTTTTTGAGAATTGTGCTGGTTATTAGGTAAATTAAGATGATTTAACTATCATACTAAAATATTACCATTATGTACCATCATAAGCAATAGAAGATAAATAGGGTATGAAAGTGGGGATAAATAATAGTTAAATATACCCATTGTTTGGGTTTGAATGGCAGATATATTCTTCTTATTATCTTATGATCTGTGTACAGTTTTGTGGTTTGCCATTTTTAATACCCAATTTAATAGCTAATTCATTACAGTATTTACAGAATATGATCTATTTCAAAGGGATTTTTTTTATGAGTACCAAGTATATTTCCTTCTGGAAGCACAATTTACTTAAAGGTATTTCCTTTTGGAGAGAAAATAATAACACACCAGAGAGTGTCAGTCTGAATTTTGTGCTAACTCAAGAGCAAATGATTATGTTGAAGATGCCGTATATCAAGCTACTTCTGAAACTTCATTTGTATAAATTAACTATTGTATCCACATTGCTTTAAATTAGAAAAGGAGTAAGGAAACAAGTTAATTGATTAAACATTTTAGCATTCACAGAATATGCACATTATCAAATAAAGAGTCAGGCTGTATTTCCACTTTATTTTTATTTACTTTTTAACCATGCCTGCTGATCCTGTTCTGTAACTGAAATAGGAATGCTGCAGTGCCATGTAGTAACTTCACTTACAAACTGCTGTATACTCTGCTGACTGGCACACCATTTGCAGTGCAGATAGTTGGGAACCCATATAGTTGAAGAGAGCTTGCATAAAAGAAAGCTTTGTATAGTGGTTTCACATTAATCTCTGGGAAGTGGCCCCCAACCTTTTGGGCAGTAGGGACTGGGGCATGGTTTCACACATTACCTAGTTCCATTGGGGACCTTGGCCTTAGAGCACTTGGGACAATGAGTATGCTGGAATATTGTGTATAGTATCCACAGGAGATAAAATTTGTAGCTCAGGGTGGAGCTGCTCCCTGGTACTCTTTGAGCTTGGTTGTTTCCTTGCAGATGGTTCACTACCAACTAGGTAGTATCACCAATGATAGTAGGAAGTGAGTTTTGCTTTCATTTTATATACTAGTGATTTGCCCTGTTAATGTTGGTGGGAGTGGTCTTGGTGGTCCCTTAATTGGACTGTTGTTTACTGTTAGCTGGTTTGTCTGATTTGGTAGTTCCTTGGTTGGTTATTGCTTGCTTCTTGATTGTTGGTCTAATGTTGATCTTGCTGTTCATCTCTGTTGATATGGGTGTTGATTGCTGGTGATGAGGTTTTTTGGTCTCTTTGTTTCCTTATTGGCTCTTTGATTGTCTCTCTTGAAATGGTATATAAATGTTGTGTATCTCTATGTACTTGTTGATGGCCAATTTGTCTGAGAGCCAATTCTCTAAAAATGCTCTAGCTTTTTTGGACAGCTTGTTCTAGAATGCCCACAGTTTCTCAGTTTAAGCTATGATTAAGTGTGTCCATGTGTTGTGAAATTAAGGAATTAATTGTTGAGTTGTGTAGTATCCAGTTAAGTACTGTTGCAGTGATGTGATGTGTCTGTCATTAAAGAACATGATATATTTCATAGGTGTTTTCTCCTTATGAGTACTAAGTTTATTTCCTTCCAGGAAATACAATTATTTAAGGGTATTTCCTTATTGGAGAGAAATTAAAATAGTAACAAACCAGATGTTTTCAGTGTGACTCTTGTGCTCACTCAGGAGCAAAATGATTAAGTAGGTTAAGGTGTCACATTTTGTTCTGTAGATACCCTTTCATTAAAGTAAATTCCTATACTGCATTATATCAATACTTGCTTTTTGCCATTCTGTTTGCAAAGGTGAAATCAGTTCATCCTCAACTTTAATAACAATTAAAACTGAGCACAGTAACCTATTATGCATAACAGAATATTTAACCTATGTATGCATAACCTAGCCATGAATATTTACCGAAGTTCATTTAGTACTGAAAGAAATTATGCTTTGCCTGCTAACGTAAGACATGCCGCAGGATGGTATTTATAGAAAGACATTGCTTCACACCTACATTTATCACTCTGCAAGCAGAGAAATAATTCATTTAACTACCGTATAGTTGCCCGTTGCACTTAAAAAACCTAGCTTTAGGTCTTTAGAGGGCTTAGACTGACCACGCTCCCAACTGTGCTTCCCTTTTTCTGCCAGCACTAACAAAGGGAACACTCATACACACAAACACACTGTTGTCAAAGCAAAAGGAAAATCTCTGGGATCATTAATAATTTGGAGTTCATTCCAAAGGTGCTGGAGTGCTTTTCCATAATCAAGGTATAATATGTGATTTCTTTTCTCCGCTGATAGATATCTCTCTCCCAATTAAGAAATAGGATATTTCTTCCAGGACCCTGTATAAGTAATGGTCTGTGATGAAAATCTTTGTCACAACAGTAGAGAGCAGCTCTACTGGCGCAGTGGTTAGGGTGCAGTACTGCAGGCCACTTCAGCTGACTGTTATCTGCAGTTCAGCGGTTCTAATCTCACCGGCTCAAAGTTGACTCAGCCTTCCATCCTTCCGAGGTGGGTGAAATGAGGACCCAGACTGTGGGGGCGATATGCTGACTCTGTAAACCGTGTAGAGAGGGCTGAAAGCCCTATGAAGCGGTATATAAGTCTAACTGCTATTGCTATTGCTATTTTAGTTTTTAGTTCCAGTGAGCAATAGTAAGGGTGAGTCATCTGTTTCAGAGATCCATTTCATGTTCCTCTGGAAGTACTCTACTTAGCTCACTACTGTGAACCTTAGTAACTAGGTTTGTGTATATTACACTAATCTGTAATTTCTTTTTAGTACCATATGGCTTGTTGAAGCCATAGTGACCTGATTCACACATATTGCAGAGCTGGAGTTTACAAATAAAAATGGTTGAGTTCAGGGGTGGTACACATTTTCCTTCCCTACCAGTTTGCAAATGTGAGAACACATGGCACCTCTGTACATGTGCAGATCCTTCTGTGCATGTGCTTTTGGTGAAAAAAGGGCATAAATGGAATGCGCAAGTGGGCAGAGCCTCCCGTGATTTCCACTACCGGTTCGGGTTATCTGGTCTGAACCGGTAGAATACCAGTTGTGGTTGTGTTCATGCATCACACTAAGCCAACACCAAATGAACTAATAAAAAGAAGCATCAGCCCTTTGCTGTTATGTATTATATTTGGATTCTGAAGAAAATATTGCAAACATTCAGGGACAGGATGGGAGAGAGCCCAGGAGTTATTAGAGTGCCATGGTGGGAAGGATATGAAGTATTGTTATGTTGTTGTTTAATTCATTTTATTGTGAACTGCCTAGGATTATTGTGTAAGGTAGGCAGCTTTGTAAGTTGTATAGATCAGAATTTCTCAATGTTGGCAACTTTAAGATGGGTAGGGTATAATTCCCAGAATTGCCTTGTCAGCTGTGTTGTTTGGAATTGAAGTCCACCCATCTTAAAATTGTGAAGGTTGAGAAACACTGCCCTAGGCAATAGTAGACCCTCTATTGGACCATACATTCTGCACCTACTAACACTAATTTACTTTAGGTTTCAGTCTTAATATTTAAATAGTTTTAATGTTCCAGTCTTCCAGAGTTTGTGCTGAAGAAAGCTCTCCAGTAGATTTTTAAATTTCCTGCATATTTTACATTTTGCAGTTTTAAAAAGATTAATTTATTTTTAAATTTAATGTAGTGTAGGATATTGATATAAAAGTGAAAAGTTGGACTTAACATTGTTCTCATGTTTTAATTCGGGAGATAGAACTCCTAAGCATTGCATAAAATGAGCAAAAGGAGGATTTTTCCTGTATTTCTGATCTAATTTTCTAATAATTTCCAGGTCTGCCTTCTTCATTGCGTCCAGTTTGCTTAGAAGCAGTAATGGCAACAGAATGCATTAAGAATTGTTGTAGAGGATGTTTATATGGTAATAAAGAAAAACACGATGGTAAGTTTAATTAATTTAAATAACTTAATTTTTTAATGTGACATGACAAAACTAGTAGCCATTGCCTGGGAGGAGCAATTATCACTTTCAACAGTGTAATGGGTAAAACTTGTGGCTATCTAATTGTGATGTCATAGTATCTGATCCTAAAAGAACCAATTATAGGTATACTTATCTATAATTGAATCACTGTAGTTAAGTTAGTAACATGGTTGTTAAGTGAATCTGGCTTCCCCACTGAGTTTGCTTGCCAGAAGGTGACAAAAAGTGATTACATGATCTTGGGATACCACAACCATCATAAATATGAGTCAGTTGTCAAGCATCTCAATTTTGATCAGTAAGCGTGAAAAATAGTCATGTCACTTTTTTCAATGCCGTTGTAACTTCAAGTCATCATTAAATGAACTGTTGTTAAGTCGTGGACTACTTGTATCTCTTTCCAATTTGATGGGAAGAGTTTCAACTCCATTTTTGAATCAGTTATTCATCTCCTAGATTGCCATGCTATCTAGCCCACACTTGCTAGCTAGCTTGCCAATCAGAATGTCATGTCTTACTTTATGAAATGGTTTGCCAAAATCAAAATATTTTACAGATGCTTAAAGAGGCATAAAATTGGCCACACTCCAGTCAACTGGCCCTTTACCCTTTTTCCGGGATACATATATAGCGTAATTATTGGAATTAGGTTTTGTCTGTATTTATAATTTTAAGTAAATTGGTAGTTTACTCTTTCCGAGACCTTTTCTTAACTAGCACTGACAAATAATTGAAATAATCAGTTATAATATTTTAGAACCATTGCAAACTCTCTCAAAAATGATATATTTACCATTAACTGCTCCATATTCTAATCAATATGTTGGAAAACTTTATTTGTCTTTGGTCCTATTAAAATACAAACGATCATGAATTAAGTACTGAATGCATTTGCTTCTTTTTGTATTATATAACAGCATCTCTGGAGAAACAGCCTACAGTTACTGACAAGTATACATCAAAAGTAGTGAAGAAACCTCCTTTGTCTTCTGTGTCCATGAAAAGACAGGTTGGCTGTTCAGAAGATTATCTTCTCTCTAAGTTCCCACCAGATGGCAAAGAAATACCCTTTGTAGTTCCTCAGTTCAAACTTGCTTACATCCAGCCTCGGAACCTTGGTAATCCACATCTTGGGGGACTGCAAGGTAAAAAGATGAAAGATGAAATTAATGTGTCTTTTTGAGAGGCTGCTTTTAGATGCATTGGAAAATTGCTTATGCAATTGATTATTTGTTCAAATTGCTAATTGAGACTTAAGATCCAACTATACAGATCAGCGATGGCGAACCTTTTTTGGCTCGTGTGCCATAAGTGGGGGGAGCGCAGGGGGGGCATGTGTGGGCGTACTGCACCAATAATGCAATGTGCTACACCCTCCCATGCGCATTTGTGCATACAGGCACTCCCTCCATTTTTTGCATGCTTTTTTCTCCCTTCCCAGAGGCTTTCTAGGAGCCTGGGGAGGGCAAAAACAGTCTCCCGCCCCCCGGAAGCCACCCAGAGGCTTCAGGGACATTCAGGAGGCTTCCCTGAAGCCTCCAGAGCAGTCAAAACGAGCCTCCGAGCAAACCGGAAGTGATTTCCGGTTTGCTTGGAGGGTCATTTTAAGCGCTCCGAAGGCTTCTGATATAGATGCACGCAGCAAAAAATAATCTTCTATCAGACTAGGTCTTCCTTTGGTTCTCACCTGTCTCCTCTATACATACAGCATTGAAATAGAAGCAGGCCATTGATACCCTTTAACCTTTAATGAATAAAGTAAAAAACAGCTTTTCCCCATGGGCTTTGTTTTATTTTATGTTGTTATTTGTGTCTGATCCTTTTGGATTGTTATCTGTTTTTGACCGTGGCTTAAAAGCTAAAAAGCAAGACCAAAAGTAGTATATTTGTTGTTGCCACAAAGAAGAGGGAGTCAAAATATTCTCCAAAGCACCTGAGGGTAGGACAAGAAGCAATGGGTGGAAACTGATCAAGGAGAGAAGCAACTTAGAACTGAGGAGAAATTTCCTTAAAGTTAGAACAATTAATCAGTGGAACAGCTTGCTTCCAGAAGTTGTGAATGCTGCAACACTGGATGTTTTTAAGAAGATGTTG